TACCACATTCGACAAGACACTTCAACGATACCTGGACAGCCCCAACTGACTACCACAACCCTGTCAGCCTAACAATGCACTTACAAAATGGACCCATCAAAGAACATTGTGCCCGCATCCACAACCAAAAACTCACACGTCAGGACCTAGTACAAAACACCAAAATAAACCGCCGATTTAACGACTTCACAACTCTTCAAATACACGAAGCAATAAAAATCCTACAGCAAACTCCCATAATCAACAAACAATCGACAGGAACAGCACGCACACTGCTACTTCTTGGCGAGAAACCCCCAAGCCATAATACAACACTAAACCAATTGACGCCTTCCACGAGCTAGATACCACCACCTGCTTATCCATACCTATAAATATCCACCAACAGTAATCACAATTCACACAACATTCAGCCTTGATAATGGGTGCAGAACGCATTTGAAACGCGTCGGCCAACTCATCACTTGCTACAACTTTCACCCGTTGTTTGGTGTACTTTGGTGACAGATTTTCTTGTAGGCAGATTTTGTTAAACAACACCGATGTCTGTAGGTTTACTTTCTTCTTAGAATTCTTCTCAAGAAGTCGATAAGCCGTCTTAACGTTGTTAGAATATATATATATATAGATAGATTGCTCAAAAATACATGTACATTTAAGACTAGAACTACAGCATAGGAAATAACAATGAAAACAGGGAATAAAATGAACATAAAAAATGCAAATATTATGGGCTTGCTCTCCCTATATTGTATGAAAATCAACTGCCTTCGTGTACATTCACTGTTGATAGTTTACACTGATAAAAACTGTCATTCAACCAATTATACAGTGCCACACCACCATAATACCTATAAAAGTATAGGCAGTTATGTAGGGTAAATACATACATGGCTCCCAAGACAAATTATCAGGTTGCCAATCCCTGAAAATAGAGCAGAGTGTAAAATTACATACTAATTGTTTGTTTTTTTTTCACTAAAGTGAGTCCTCCAATATGTCCTATTCAAGATTCTAATGGGTGCCCAGTTGGCATAATGGAACATTTTTTGTACACTTAAATAAATTTTATATACTAAAGAGAATAAAAAATTAAATCCATCCTGTAAAAGATGCATGTTTGGTCCACTGAGATGTCTTCTCAAAGGTTCGACCAAGAAGATTTAAAATTAGTCACAAAGTACTGGTGTAAGAACAATCCAATTGGGCAATATTATAAAACTGGTTGCTGTAGTATCAAATTTCTTAATACAGACTATAATTACAGTAAGCCACACCTTTGTTAATTCTTCAGTATGACAGAAACACCATCCAGCTTTTTCTTTAAATGTCGGAAAAGTGGTCCACTTATTACTAGTGGAGAAGTGTGGATAAGAAAAATCATTGCATCCAGCATTGAGAAGAAAGACATCCTTCATGTAGAACTTCAAGAAAAATTAGAGAAAGTATCTTAACAAGCAATCTCTAATATTATTGTATTGATGGCTATCACATGTTTCAGTAGGAGTTGTATGGATTTTGAAGTGTGTATTTGAAACTAGTACTGTTGATAATAGAAATAGTAGAGATAAAAAAAACCAAATCCCTCTGAAGGGACATTACATAACTAAAGGTATGCTCTTTGCAATCCAGTAGCAGTCTTTTCATTGGCTTAGTTGGTAAGTACAGATGTGAAATATTACTTCCAGATGATACAGATTAGCACACCATGGACTCATTGGGTATGTAACTTTTGAAAAAAAAAAACTCCTCTGAGGACAAATAACCAAACCAAAAGACAGAAATGGGAATCTGACTTCAAACAGTAAGATAAGCAAAGTTGGAGAAAGTTGATCATTACAGATGAATTCAAATTCAAATTGTTTGACAACAATCTGTGAAAATTTGTTAATAGAGAGATCATTATTACATTCTATGTACATCATCTACAATGCAGCATACTAGGGGACTAACACAACTGTGGGTTGCCTCTCAGTTAACGATGTTGGAAATCTTCAAAAAACTGATAGCATCCTAAATGCCAACAGGTCCAATCAGATTCCTATCTCTCAGGAACAAGATCTGTTGAGCAGGGATTCATCTTCCAGAATATTATTAATGCTATAAGGTTATGTAGAAACTGAAGAGGTGAAACAGGAACTAAACAACTTAATTGAATTGTGAATAGTAATACAGGAACACTGGAACAATATTTCACAGTCATACAATGATAAAAATATGGTTGCATAAAAACAAAGTGAACTACTTTGTTTAAAGCAAGTGCAGAATATTAGTGCATTGTACGACTCATTCAGTTTTCTGTTGTATTTTCTGTACTAATATATTCTACTAATCATAGATTGAATACTTAGTTGCAATTAGTGATGCATTGTTTGTGACCTGACACTGTGTCACCTATGCATTTCCATAATTATTTTCAATATTTTATATATAGATGAATTTCTTGTTTTGTACAACAGGTGGTAATTTATTACTTAAACTGTATGTCAAATAAAAAAACTAAAAACAATCTTCCATATCCCCTTTATTACTTGCTATTACTTATAGCACTTTAAATCTCTAACTATTAAACTATGTTATCACGTATTATATCAAAATACACAAGCCATTCACTAGCATTATATATTAGCATTATATTTCTCAAAATCTCAAAAATTTCTTGTAAAATTCTAATAAAAAATTATGGGTATTCATAAACATTTTCTTTTGGCATTATTCACACACTCAGAATTTCTATATTGCTTTGTTTTTGCATTTTTTATTACTAAGCATTAAGATTGACTTGATAATAAAAAATAGCAGTAACAAACATCTACAAGCTTTACTGTCTTCATAAAATATCTAATTTAGAAATTTGACTTCAAAAATTGGTACAGTAATATGTAAATTACACCTTTAAGTGAAATTAACAATAATTGATGTTTAGTTCTATATGTATAAGTAAACACAGAAGTTTGATATAAATTTTTATTCTTGTAATAATCTTTCATTAAAAATTAAGTATTAATAGCATAATCTAAAGTGATTTGTATTAGAATTTGTTCCCTGTGCTTTATGTTAGAGGGATTGAGGATAAACTGTACTTTGTTTTGGGCTAAAACAATGCTACAGAAAACAGGGTGAAAAATACTACTAAACCAGTGTTTCTGATAGCATTAATTTGTAATTCAACTAGCTTACAGAAAATATAACTTTTTGTATCATCATAATCTGCGTAACAATTATTTTTTAGATAATCTTCCACAGTTGTACATCAGTAAGCTTGAAAGTTTATAACTCAGAAATCGCAAGGAATTCAATCTCTTGTAGCATGCACAGTGCTTATATCCCATACTGTAGCTTTGCACTAATACAAACAAGTTTTAGGTTATTAAACTCTATTAAAGTACTGTGTTTGATAAGAAATAAAACTGTGAAAGTTTTGCAAAAAAAGTACTTGTCCTTAACTGTTTGTAAGTAACAAAAATTGATACATTTTAATTTTTGATATTATATAATATAGATCATTCTTTTCTTAACTAAAAAACAGTATCAACAGATCATATTCACCGTGATA